CAGTGGTTTGTATCATATCTATCTAATAGACTCCAATTTGTGCAGGTAAATTATGGAGTTCCACAGGGTTCAGTGCTAGGACTAATTCTGTTTACATTATACATGCTTCCCCTAGGCAGCATCATTATAAGACATAGCATAAATCTTCACTGCTATGCTGATGACACCAAGCTCTATCTGTCCATGAAGCCAGATAACACACACCAATTAGTTAAACTGCAGGAATGTCTTAAAGACATAAATGTCACGTTCCTGGATCTGTTGACCCAGTGTTTTGAGTTTAGTTTATTTGGATGTTATGTTTAAGTTCTTTAGGGTAGCTAAGTTCATTTGTTTATTAGTGTCTCTTTGTGTTTTCTACCCCTGTATTTAAGTTTCCCTTTCCCGGTTTCATGCTACGTGTCCTATGTTGTCAAGTTTATATTGTCTAGTCTGCATCTCATTTCCTCTTTTATTTTGAAGGTCTGTGTCATATGTCAGTGTAGTCAGCTTTGCTTCCTTTGTCTCCTTATGTCAGATTAGTGTCAGCTGTTTCCCCATGTGTTTCCACTTCCCCCAATCACCCTTGTGTGTATTTAGTCTGTGTTTCTGTTCATTCTTTGTCAGGTCGTCTGTTGTTCACATCATGTTCGCTACGCCATGTTTCTGAGGTTCATGTCCAGGTTTTCATGTTGTTTGTTTAGTTCACCCAGTTTAGGTTAATGTTAGTTTTTTTCAATTTGCCTTGCCCTTTATTTGTACCTTTTTTTTTTTTTTTTACCAGCCTCATTAAACGGCTCGCTTTTTGTTAATACCCACATTTTGGTTCCACGGCTCGCTTTTTGTTAATACCCACATTTTGGTTCCACGTTCCTTTTGTGTCTGCATTTTGGGTGTTCTTTCCAAATTCCTACAGTCTGCTTCTGCTGTGACAGCAGCTTTCCTCAAGCATCGACATCCTTGCTGTGAATATTATCATTACCACTATAGATCTTGTTGATGCTACAGGATCTGCATGCACAGAAAAACTAATACATAATTACATAAACAAATAACGTGACATTTCTTCTCATTGTGTTTATTATTTTTTCATGTTCCAATGTAGAGTTTAAGTGTTTCAGAGTGATCACAAGAAAGGAAGTGAAAACCTTGACAATAAATAAAGGTTTCTACTATATAGAAAGAAAAAATTATATAAAAGAAAATAATATAAAAATATTAAATGAGAAGTTGAGTTCAAACTTTTGACTGTTAGTGTATATCTATGTGGTGACTTGTTGATTTTAAATCATTTAACATGCATCTGTTAATCCTACAAGTTCAGTTGCTTGAGTTGAATTACTTGAGTAAGTAAGTAAAATTTATTTATATAGCACTTTTTAAGACAAGAAACTATAACAAAGTGCTTCACATGAAAATGTAAAAGCATATCAAACACAAACAATACAACAAGATAAAGGTACAAAAGCAGATCAAATAAAACAACATATTACCCAAATGCCTGTCTAAACAGATGTGTTTTAAGCTGTTTTTTAAAAGAAGACACAGAGCGGGGGAGGTAAACTGTTCCACACCATTGGAGCTAGGGTTTGAAAAGCAGTTTCAGTGTAAACTATCAGAATAGGAAAAACAGCAATGTGACTTGCAGTGTAAATTATTTATTTCATTTTATGCAGGTTGAATGTCGCATCTGTTCTGTGGAGCTTTCTTACACAAACAAAAGCACCTCCTCAGTGTTTAGGCATTACAGAGCCAAACATGAAAATGAGGAGACAAACACACTGAGAATGAACACAGGTCGGCCTATATTGACACTGAACAGCTTTATCATCATTTTTTTTTATTAATATGTGTTTTATTATTTTGAAATCAAGCATCTAGGAAGACTGTTCTGGACCAGGCAGTCGTGAATTTTATTATAAAGGAGTGCCAACCCCTTAGTATTGTGGAGAGTGTCGGAGAGAAACATTCCAAGATCAGAGGAT